CAAATACAAATAGCGGCACCACAGGTGCCACAGAGGCCCATTACCTCCCCCCAGAACCAGCCACTCCACTCACCATTTGCAGCATGGAACTCGGCTCCATTGTCACGCCAGTTGTGGAAGGAAGCCGGCTGGCTCTTCCCTGCCTCTCCATGCAGGCAACTACTCATTGGCTGAGCAGGGACTTTTCCCATCCCGCCTCTGTGCTGCAGTGGACAGCTGCTTGGGGAGGCAGGGAATAGCTGGCTTGGCTCCTTTTGCAGTTGGTGCGACAGCAACATGATGGAGCCAAGTGCTGGGGGGAGGGAATGGACCGCTGCTAGTTCTGGGGGGAGGGAATGGACCTTTGTGGCACCTGTGGTGCCGCTATTTGCATTCCTATCCACAGGGATATGATTAGTCCATGCCTAATTCAAACTGTAAAATAAAGAAAAGATTTAAACCATTTAAAACCACATTTTAAAACACAAGAAAATTACAACCCCTCCTTCAAATCTCCTTTAGCAGCCAGATCCCTACTGATGGCCTGCCTACAGAGAAAGGCCATTGCCTGTCAGTGGAAGGATAGCACAGGCAGGGCTGGTCTCCCATGTTTCAAAATCTGGAAACGGCTCCCTATATTATAGGAAAATACGGTTGGGGTTCTCTTGACTTCCCTTATGAGAGGGGCTCCTTTGAAGATCTTACTAAAGGAAAAAGCATTGCAAAGCAAGTCCCACCACTGCAGGGTATGCGTGTTGGAAGACTTCTGCTTCCTCGACAGCAGTTTCCCCTACAGCAGCTTTTCAAAGCTATTAACCAGTTCCTGAAAATGATTGTAGATTTTGGGTGAAATAGCTTATTTTAAGGCAGTCAAGCCGAGAGGCATTTCACTTCAACTCTCAGGAAGAATATACAGTATGTTTTAAAGCAGCCATTCTCAACAAGGGACCATATGGCCCCATGGGAGGTCCTGACACATTTGAAGGGGGCCATAAACTGGAAACAGTTATTCATACATGATCTTATACAGTTTGTCATGTCATTTATACCATCCTGATTTGGCTGACATTTCTTTCATATTGTGCTTATGGCCATAGCAAAAAAAGGTTGAGAATAGCTGGTTCAAAAGATTTCTTTTTATGATTAAAAGTTAAGTGTATTTTTAACTGACTATTGTTAAATTTTGTATTTTTTTTAAAAAAAATTGCTTCACTGTTTATTATTCACTTTCTAAACAATCGAATTGCTTTGTTTCTTTCGACCATCTCAGCAGCCCCAACCAGAGAACAAGGCAGGGCATGTGCAAATAAACAGTCAACAGCATGTACTTGAGACAGAGGCAGACTAGTCTGTATGCCTTTGTGTTTCTCAGTGTTGGCTTTGTCCTTGAAGCAGGGGCCCACTTTCTGAAAGAGTACAGCTTCCCAGGTTTCTGCTGTGGCCTAGATGCCTCTTCATGCCAAAGGCCCAGGAGTGCCTGCTTATGGATCACCCTGCTTGAAATGTTCTCCAAAGTTTCCCTCAACCTTGGTTGGGAGGGTTTCCTGTGCTTACGTATAAAAAGGCTTTCCCCATTTCAGGTTATGGCTATTGGGCGCACCTTTGAAGAGAGCTTTCAGAAGGCCTTAAGGATGTGTCACCCTTCTGTTGATGGCTTCACGGCATGCCTGCCAATGAACAAAGACTGGCCTTCTAATGTGGATCTCAGGAAAGACCTAGCTGAACCCTCCAGCAACCGGGTGTATGCAATGGCTAAGGTATTATTTTAGGAAGCAGGCTAATTGACTTATATAACAAATTATTATAATCCTTAATTGCACTGGTGAATCCACAGTGGTCTCAGGAGCCGTACTTTCAGAGTATCTGATTGCCACAATGTAAGATGAAGCAGTTCTCTACAGTGGTACCTGCATCTCTACAGTTCTCTACAGTGGTACCCAGGAAGCTTCTGGGTTATTACTTAGAGCTGAATAGAGATAGCTAGTATAAAAGCCCATGAACATGGCAGAGGAGCCAGGTTCTTATGATAAATGTGCAAGCAATGAATCAGCAGTCATTTTCTTCTAATTCTGTTTGGTGACAGATCCTGCCACATTCTCTTCATGTTTTATGTAAGAGGAATAAGGGCCAGGACCATAAATAAGGAAAATCCTGCTAAATTTTCTTCACAGTAATCTGAATTGGCATTCGTTCTCCTCCCTCACCCTCACCCTCAGATAGCCTGCTATTATAGAAGGTCTTTTAGTTGTCTCTCACCTAATACTTCTCATGCTAAAAAGAACACACTGATTCTTCCGGAAGAGGAAGATATTCAAATGTGTCTTCATTTTTTTCTTTTTAAAGATTTCAACCTTCTCGTTAAAATTATAGCTCTGACAGCTGGAACTGTGCGGGTCAGAAATCTCTAAACATTGTCCTGACACTTAAAGAATGTATAATTTATTCCTGTTAGTGCAAAGCCTTGTTAACTCAAGTCCAAAGTCTTTTTTAACCACTCTTCTCAAGGAGTTCATTTTTTTTTGTTGCTGCCAGGAGAGAAGAGTTGGATTCTGTGCAGGAATCTGAAATTTGTTCAGAGATAGAACCCACATTGATTTCCCGCTTGAAAAAAAAAGGCAAGAGTAGATAGGATGAGGACTGCAGGACGTGTGACTTGCTGAGTCAGGGTTTGTGGGTGTTTTGTATTTTGTGGGTAGCCACAAACCACCCCAATTCATCATTTTTTTCAGTTCAGCCACCTAGAGTGGTCGTATAGACCAGATGGGTGGGATACAAATCAAATAAATAAAAAAATAAAAATAAATAAATATCCATCTCATGAATTTGGTTTGATTATCCTACTCAGAAGTCACCCTTCTGAGTTGCTGTGTTCTGTTCCAGTGGCCTTCAAGTAATAAAGAGTTAATGAGAGAGTAACTTTTTTTTTGAGTCTTAGTTTTTTTCCATTGCATCCCACTATGTTTGGCATTCATTTTTATTAAGGATTTCTTTTTCCGCCCCATTCTGTTCTGGTTTGTTCTTAGTCCCATTTTCAGGTGGCAGGTAAAACCTCTTGTAAGAGGGCTTTTCTTCACAAACACAACAGTCCCTGCACACTGAAAACTAGTTGAGCAAGGAATGAGTGGCTCTTGAACCTAGTGCACAATGAGCAGTGGGCATGAACCATTTAGTTTCACACTGGTATATATAATATCTATTAATGTTTCATTGGGCCTAAAATCTGCTTTGCTTGTAGGAAATACCAGAAATACCTTGGTTTTTTTGAATGAACCATCATGTCTGTGTTAAAATACTCATGAGTAGGCAATTGTGTGTCATGTAGACAACTGCCATTAATCTTGCCCTGTCATCAGCAAAGATTTCTCTATTGGATAAAAGTTGTTCTTTTAAAAAGAATATTATTTTTCCTTTGAAAGGAGTATTTAGCTTATATTAGGTGTACAAGCATTCTGAGTAGAAACACAATGCTAGCAGCAAGTGGATAGACCTTAACAAGCCAAGAGGTGTATTGTTGGTAATACAATATCACAGATACTAATGCTTTTGTGAGGCCCACATAATAATATACCATTGTGATTTTCAAACACTCCCTCCTCAAGAAATCTTTTTGTTAGTGACTCATCTGCTGGCTCTTTCACTCACTGTCTGCTGTAGATCCCCAACACATTAGAGGAATATTCCATAGGTTAAATTTGGTTCAGATCTGGAAATAGTCAGATCTCAATTGGTTAGGCCTGCACAAACCGAAACTACAACGTGTTTACAGCTTTTTCAAGGAGGAGCCCAAAAAGCAGGGCCCAAAGGTTGCCTCCTATATATTTTCCGCTACTTAGTTATTCATCAGGAAACTAGCTCATTAGCCATGGAATGGTAACTCATCAAGACCTTTTTCTGACAGGCTTTGCATGAGAATATCCCTGTGGAAGATATCCATAAACTTACAGACATCGATAAGTGGTTCATCTATAAAATGCACAATATTGTGAAAATGGAGGAGCACTTGAAAGGTTTCAATAGGTAAGGCTGGCCAGCTCTTTTATTTTCATGACAATTCGGCACATCATGTTCTTCATGTGGTTACTGCAGCTGTCAGGTGATAGTTTTCATTTATGAAAGTGCTTCTAGTGCAACAAAAGCCTCTGACAACTCACCTGTATATTTAGGATAAGCAGATATTTTTGTGCTCCTGATTCTTTCCTTTTTAATATTCGCATCTGCCCACCACCTTATCTGTATCCTTTCGTCAGGCGCTTCTTCTCCTTTTCCTTTCAGTTCCGTTTAGCTGGAATTTATTCCTGTACCCATGTTAATGAAGAACTGAATGTGGGGATTGTGTCTCCTCTCTATGCTCTTGTGTGTTTCTGAATAATACCTGCGCTGGAGTCAGGGTATGCTGAGCACCTGTGGAAGCCCATGTCCTAGGAGGGGGCCCACAGGCTGTTCCCTAGAGCCGTTTGGTCTGTGCTCCTCCCTTCCTATCTTGCTTTGGCCTCATCAGCTTCTCTCTCCATGCATGTCCTGCAAGCAGAGACAAGAGGAAGGGGAAGGGACCGACTTTTCCCCTCCATCTAGTTGGTGCTTTCACTTTGTGTCCAGAGGGGAAGATCAGGTGACTGGCTGGGCATGACATCAGCAAGGAGAAGGCAGACCAGTTAGGAAGGAGGACTCTCTTGGCACTTTGTTACTGAGGTCTTACAAAATCTGGACCATATGCTCTATGGTGCTGTTCATTTCTTCTCAACCCATTTGCTTGCTTCTTATAAACTTGAAATGTTTAGGCTTTTAAAACCCCTTTTTAGTATGAAATGGGTGGTTGCTAACATGCCAAGTGGCTGAGCAGAAACATGGATTGAGGTAATGATTGCCTGAAGGTTATTTGTTAATGAGAATACGGGATAGAGATGTGTTTGATAAATACGTATTCTGAACATATATACTTACTGTTAAAAAAACATAAGCAGGGGAGAATAGTGCACTTTTCTTGTTCTGTATCCTGATGGACTATTTCAGATTCATCTCTTTGTCTCTGTCTCTCTGAAGTGGAAAGTTACATGTTTCTTTCAGTTTTCAGGGAGAATTTTACTGTTTCATTAAAATAAGTATAATTAATGTTTTATTGAAAGATCATGAAATAGCCATTTGCAATACAGACATTTTGAGTAAAAGAACAGAAGCAGATAAATGCACAGCACGTAGACAAATGTTGCAAACATTAAAATTAAAAATTTAGGAGGGTTGTGAGTGGTGTGTGTGTGTGTGTGTGTGTGTGTGTGTGTGTGTGTGTGTGTGTTTAAATAAAAGACTTAATCTACATATAAATGACAGCAGAAAAGGATTGGAAGGATGGGTAATTCTGTGGGAGTGATGAAAAGAGGCCACAATAGCAAGAATGTTACTCTTCCTAGAAGGCTGAGTTTCACCTGTTTTTAAGAAAGAGAAGCAATACCCTGGCTCTGATTAGCTGCGAGGAGTAGCCACTCAGGGTCTCTGATTGGGCTCATGGTGGCAGCTAATTAGTAGCTCCAAGAAGCAACCACTGACAGACAATCAGGAAAAAGAATTCTTAACTTTGGGTGAATTTTTAAAAAAGAAAAGAAAATGCGGTAACAAAACTTCCACCCTTTATCAGATTGCCATTGTAGCTAAGGTTGAGCTTCTTTACTTTCATGGATCATATGACCTCTGTGGATTCACACACAGGGAATCTTTCCTGCTCTTGGGAGAGGAGTGAATTTGACAGTCTTTATATGTGTAGGACAGGTTTACTGTTAAGGATGAGGAAAACATTCCACTCCCCCTAATAATAATGACTATGGTCTATTAGGTTGATTCCAACTTACGGTTGACTCTATCCTGTGTTTGAGGGTTTCCTGGTGAAAGCCCACTCCACCACATGACTCTTGCTTCTCCTGAAGTGGATGAGCCCAGGTAAGAGTCTGTGATGGTGATGGCTATGAAGCCTGAGGGAGAACGTATTGTTTGCAAACACTTCAGCTTATTCAGATCTGGCAATGAGTGCAGGGAGTCAAATCAGAAATCCACAAGGCTAGGCACTGAGAAGCAAGGAGCTTTCCTTGCAAAGGTAGAGGCACCATCACACCCACACAAACACCAAAACCCTGGTAGCTTGGTAAAGGCAAGACCATGTTTCAGTACCACCCACCCTATCAACCAAAAATCAACCAGTTGCTTGGAAGGATTGTCATATTTTATTCAAATAGAAGGAGGTAAAGTTAGAAGGCAAAAGTTCCAAAATGTTATTAAAAGGTTGCAAAAAATACAGGGACAGTCTCAGGCAACTCAGGAGAAAGGCACCAGAAAAACAAAAGCAAGCAAGCCAACAAAAAACTAAGCTAAACTACCTAATACTTATACCTTAGCAGAGTGGTAGTGTAAATCTGAGATATGCACAGAGTGCAACCTTTCCCTTTTATGGTTTCCTAGCATGGTGAACAAAGTCCCCTCCTTCTGAGTAAGACTGAGTTCCATCGTGTGGGTAAGCAAAGCACATTCTTCAGAGAGATAGGCTAGGCTATGTAACTAGTTTTTCCAGTCCCTTTTATGTAATAAATTGCATATTCCAAACTTGTCATAAATAACATTTTAATTATCTTTCATGTTTTCACTCCAAACAAAAGGATCTTCCTCTCCTCTTCCTTTCCCACAGCTCTGATTTGCATAGCTCCAGGGAAGGAAGTGGACTGGCTTTTAAAGTGGAAATGTTAGATATTTTTCGGTGCTGCTTTGATATGACTTCTTTCAAGTGTTCATTAATAGGAGGTCAACTGAAGGTGTGAATTATCCTTTTGTACATAGCCGATACCAATGTCTGCCTGCTTGGTCAGCTTCCCAGGTATCCACATAGGAGCACTGAAGCTTCCAGTAAATGAATTCTATGTTCCATGCTCTCCAGTTTCTTCACACTATGTTTTCTAGGTATAGTATATTCAGAGGTGGTTTATCATTCCTTTCTGCTAGGGGTGCTTTGATACTGTGCTGCTTCCTAAGACTATACAGGCTGGTTCTGCTCCAGAGAACAGTTGCAAATTGAACTCTCAAACTCTGGCTCTTCTGCCAAGTACCCAATTCCCTGAATTACCCAGCTGCCCACCCCACTTTTTAACAACCACAACAATATAATACTTAAAACTTGTATCTGTTATATAATCACAGTCAATGTTTTTATAATTTTGATTGAACTGTGCCATGTGTTTTTTGATGATGAGTTGGGTGTGTGTGTGTGTGTGTGTGTGTGTGTGTGTGTGTGTGTTTAAATAAAAGACTTAATCTACATATAAATGACAGCAGAAAAGGATTGGAAGGATGGGTAATTCTGTGGGAGTGATGAAAGGAGGCCACAATAGCAAGAATGTTACTCTTCCTAGAAGGCTGAGATTCACCTGTTTTTACGAAAGAGAAGCAATACCTGGCTCTGATTAGCTGCAAGGAGTAGCCACTCAGAGTCTCTGATTGGGCTCATGGTGGCAGCTAATTAGTAGCTCCAAGAAGCAACCACTGACAGACAATCAGGAAAAAGAATTCTTAACTTTGGGTGAATTTTTAAAAAAGAAAAGAAAATGCGGTAACAAAACTTCCACCCTTTATCAGATTGGCATTGTAGCTAAGGTTGAGCTTCTTTACTTTCATGGATCATATGACCTCTGTGGATTCACACACAGGGAATCTTTCCTGCTCTTGGGAGAGGAGTGAATTTGACAGTCTTTATATGTGTAGGACAGGTTTACTGTTAAGGATGAAGAAAACATTCCACTCCCCCTAGCCACATAGGAGCACTGAAGCTTTCTGAGAAGCAAGGAGCTTTCCTTGCAAAGGTAGAGGCACCATCACACCCACACAAACACCAAAACCCTGGTAGCTTGGTAAAGGCAAGACCATGTTTCAGTACCACCCACCCTATCAACCAAAAATCAACCAGTTGCTTGGAAGGATTGTCATATTTTATTCAAATAGAAGGAGGTAAAGTTAGAAGGCAAAAGTTCCAAAATGTTATTAAAAGGTTGCAAAAAATACAGGGACAGTCTCAGGCAACTCAGGAGAAAGGCACCAGAAAAACAAAAGCAAGCAAGCCAACAAAAAACTAAGCTAAACTACCTAATACTTATACCTTAGCAGAGTGGTAGTGTAAATCTGAGATATGCACAGAGTGCAACCTTTCCCTTTTATGGTTTCCTAGCATGGTGAACAAAGTCCCCTCCTTCTGAGTAAGACTGAGTTCCATCGTGTGGGTAAGCAAAGCACATTCTTCAGAGAGATAGGCTAGGCTATGTAACTAGTTTTTCCAGTCCCTTTTATGTAATAAATTGCATATTCCAAACTTGTCATAAATAACATTTTAATTATCTTTCATGTTTTCACTCCAAACAAAAGGATCTTCCTCTCCTCTTCCTTTCCCACAGCTCTGATTTGCATAGCTCCAGGGAAGGAAGTGGACTGGCTTTTAAAGTGGAAATGTTAGATATTTTTCGGTGCTGCTTTGATATGACTTCTTTCAAGTGTTCATTAATAGGAGGTCAACTGAAGGTGTGAATTATCCTTTTGTACATAGCCGATACCAATGTCTGCCTGCTTGGTCAGCTTCCCAGGTATCCACATAGGAGCACTGAAGCTTCCAGTAAATGAATTCTATGTTCCATGCTCTCCAGTTTCTTCACACTATGTTTTCTAGGTATAGTATATTCAGAGGTGGTTTATCATTCCTTTCTGCTAGGGGTGCTTTGATACTGTGCTGCTTCCTAAGACTATACAGGCTGGTTCTGCTCCAGAGAACAGTTGCAAATTGAACTCTCAAACTCTGGCTCTTCTGCCAAGTACCCAATTCCCTGAATTACCCAGCTGCCCACCCCACTTTTTAACAACCACAACAATATAATACTTAAAACTTGTATCTGTTATATAATCACAGTCAATGTTTTTATAATTTTGATTGAACTGTGCCATGTGTTTTTTGATGATGCTGATGCTGCTGCTGCTGCTGCTGCTGCTGCTGATGATGATGA